TTTTTTTTTTTTGGGTTTTTCAAGACGGTTTCTCTGTAGCTTTGTGCTTTCCTGGAACTCACTTGGTAGCCCAAGCTGGCCTCGAACTCACAGAGATATGCCTGGCTCTGCCTCCCAAGTGCTGGGATTAAAGGTGTGTGCCACCAACGCCTGGCTTTCATTTCTTTTAGTAGGAACAATACATGCATGGAACAAAATTCAAAAGGTAATATGTTCCGACAGTGAAAAGTTGCCCCTTTCCTGCCTTTCCCTGTGCCATTGTCTTTCCTAGAGGTGGCCACTTGTGTCTTTCAGATATGTGTGTTGAATGTGTGTTTGAAGTTCTGAAGTCTTCTATAATAAAAAGTTAATTTTTCTTTACTTTTGCAAAGGAAACCATCTCAAATCTACTTTCTTGTGTCTTACTGGTAGAAGAGAATACACACAAATTGAAGAGAAAGACACAGTAGAATACTACAGTATGTTTCCTTTTTTCAACAGTGATTGGGAATTTGCGTCTGTTCCAGATGTATTGGTTCACTGTGGAACTTGTTGATGTTTCATTCAAATCCAGTAAATACTGAGTATGTCTTGATCTTACACAATTACAGGAAATCAAAAAATGAGTACTTGATCTGTCTACCATCATTTTTAACTAAGAAAAAAGTGAACTACTTTAAAAAATGAATATAAATAAATATTAGCTTGTAATTAAATGTAGTAAAATACATAAAGCAACATTACAAAAAAAAAAAAAAAAGATAAAAACAAAAAACAACTGGTGGTACCCAGGGCCTGGTTAACACAGGCCTATAGTCTTAGCTACTGAGGATGTTGAAGCAGGTAGGTCAGAAGTTCAGAGCCTGCTTAGACAACTTAATGAGACCCTGTTTCAAAGTAAAGTAATAAGAGGTGGGAATAAGCTCAGTGATTGTCTAACATGCAATACCCAAAGATCAGTTCCTAGCACTGCAAAACAAAACCAAACTTTGGTGGTATTAGAGAAGGTTCCAGGACTGGTTGTGTATGGTAATTGTTTACTTCTCTTCTGAAGATCAGCCCACGCCATCATTTCTGTTGAAAACAGTGTTTGCTTTCCTTACTGCAAACCAAGAGGAAGGAATCTGAACTGGAGATGAAGCTGGGTAGCACAGCATGCTGACCATCTGATCTTCTTGGGAAATGACTGTGGTGTGCTTGAAATGTGGCTAGTTTAACTCCACATTTCAAGGTTTTAATTAAAAAAATTTTGTGTGTGTGTGTATGTGTGTGTGTGTGTGTGTGTGTGTGTGTCTGTCTGTCTGTCTGTCTGTGTCTGTGTTTAAGTAATCCAAATTGGCTTTTCCTTAGCCTCCCAAGTTCTGGAGTACAGATGTGAGCCATCACACCTCAATAAAGAACTGAATTTTTACTTTTCACTAATTTAAACTGAAGTACTAGGTAACCACACCTGGCTTCTGGCTTTTACATTGGATAACCAGGTGGCCTTGGGGAGCAGAGACAGCAGAGGTAAAAGGAAGGAAGGAGGGCCTCAGAACAGACCCACGAGTTTACAGTGAAAGCCAGAGTCTCAGGAACACAGGGCGGTCTGAGTCTTTACAGATGAGCTCTTCCTTTGTATGAGTCAGGATAATTTAACACAGTATTGGGATAGACCCAAGTAGAAATGATCCTCAATTTATTGTAGAAATAACCTGGAATTGTCTCTCAATTCTTGAAATGAAAAACAATAATTTGAAAATGTTAGTACTTCTCTTTTTTGAGAAAGGGTCTCCATATGTAGCTCAGGCTATCCTTAAGTTCATTATGTTGCCCAGGCTGGTCTCCAGCTTGGGATTCACCTCATGAACTTGGGATGTATGCTTGCTATTTTTATGTCAATTTGACTCAAGCCAGAGTCATTGGAGAAGGAGCATCAGTTGAGAAAATGCCTCCATAAGATCTAGCTGCAAGTAAGCCTGTAGGACATTTTCTTAATTAGTGAGTGATGTGGGAGGGCCCAGCCCATTGCGGTCCCACTGGACTGGTTGTCCTGTGTTCTATAAGAAAGCAGGCTGAGCAAGCTATGAGGAGCAAGCCAGTAAGCAGCAGTCCTCCATGGCCTCTGCATCAGCTCCTGCCCTCAGGTTCCCGTCCTGTGTGAGTTCTGTCCTGACTCCCTTTGAAGAAGAACAGTGATGATAGAGCGTAAGCCAAATAAACCCTTTCCTCTCCAGGTTGCTTTGGTCATGGTGTTTCATCACAGTAATAGTAACCCTAATTAGGACAGGATGCTTCAGCCTCCTGAAGGTTGGAATTACAAGTATGCACCATCGTAGTCAGCAAACAAGTGGATTACTTCCAAGTTGGACTCTGCTCCACCTGACCAACACATTTCCTCGCTTATTTGAGCTGTTCCCCTTTCTAGAGAGTATTTATTTCATATTTTATCTATATTGAAACTCTTGATTAAAGCCATCAATTTAGGCTATTTTTCTCAGAAGTAGAAACTAGTTCTTTACACTATAATTAGTGAGTACAAGGGAAACTAGGAAACATAGATGTGAAGGAAGTAAGGAGGTAGTATTATAAAAAAAGGAAGTGGAGGAGCACTGAAATCCATCCCCCCTCTTCCCCCCACATTTGTTTACTTCTCTATTTTGTAATCTTTGGTACCAGGGAGAAGTGAGCTTGAGATTGTCCAACGAGTCAGGTTCAGTGGTGGGACAGTTTTTCTTTGTCCTAGATGCTCAAGAACCGTATGTGTTGTACTTCACTCACTCCGGGTTTAGGAGGGGCTTTGTTTAAGGCAGTCCTGTTGTTGCCTGCCCGGGAAGCAAGGGCAGACTGACAGTGATGTCAGTGCTCTCTCCAGGCTTTCCACGCCCATCAGTATGTATGTCCCTTGTTCACTTACCTCATCTCTGCGAAGTTTCATTTTATGTGTTCTACAAAGCTTACTGCTCAAAAGCTGCTATTTCAGATCATTTCTTGGTGAATCACAGCTGTGATAGTTGATTAAAACAAAATTCATGTGTTAGAAGAATTCCATTTGTTTGGTTGGAAAAGGTATTTATTATTCATGTGTGTATGATGCACAGGTGTGAGTGGAGTTGTGCCGTGGCATTCCTGTGGAGGTCAGAGGACAACTTTGTGGAGTCAGTCCCCTCAGTCTTTACATGGGTTCTGGAAATCAAACTCAGGTTGCTGGGCTCACATAGCAAGCAGTGTTACTCACTAAGCCATCCTGATGGCCCAAAATACTTTTATAGATACAGTTTTGTTTCAGTGTTCAAACATGAGATTTTATTAAAAACTAAGATAGGTTCTTTTCAAAACATAATGATTTTTTTTCTGCAATTAGTGCTCCATTTTTATAATTTGTTGGTACTTTCTAGATTGCTTCATTCACCACGTGAAAAACAATTTCTACAATGTTGCGAGTTTGTTTAGATTGCCGTTACAGCTGACCACAAAACCCATGGTGTCTTCTGCGTGTAATGGAACACGGAATGTGGCCCCTTCAGGAGAGGTCAGTGGAGATGGGGCTTGGATACTGGTCTTTTTTTTTCCTTTCCCTTTTTGATTTTCTGTGTAGAGATGGAACCCGGGACCTCGTAAATCCTTTGTTTGTTTGTCTGTTTGTTTTTGAGACAGTCTCTTTTCATAGCCATGGCTATCCTGGAACCCACTGTGTAAACTAGGCTGGTCTTGAACTTAGAGATCCACTTGCCTCTGTCTCCTGAGTGCTGTGATTATAGGTGTGTGGGATATGGGTCTTGTATATCTTATTTTATTTTATTAAGATTTACTTATTTGTTATGTATACAGTATTCTGCCTGCATGTGTCCTTGCAGGCCAGAAGAGGGCACCAGATCTCATTACAGGTGGCTGTGAGCCACCATGTGGTTGCTGGGAATTGAACTCAGGACCTCTGGAAGAGCAGTGAGTGCTCTTAACCATTGAGCCATCTCTCCAGCCCCCAGGTCTTGTATGTCTTAAGCATGAGTCTATTACTGAGTCCCTACACACTGTAATGTTTGTAAATTGAATTTAAAAAATATTCTAGTCTTTTGGGGAATTACATATAGGTTGACTTATTTCCAGAAATGAACATGCATTTATTAGCTCTGATATGAAGGTCAAGAAATTAAAGGTTAAAAATTTAAGTATCATAAAAATATTTATGGCTCAGTGAGTAAAGACTAAAGCAAACTGAGGATTGCTGCTAAGCCTGATGAACTTAGTTCAATCCCCAGGACCCACACTGTAGAAAGAGAGCTAATGCCCACAAGTTGTCCTCTGCCCTCCGTCCATGCACGCACACGCAGACACACATGCACAGGCACATGCATACACACACACACACACACACACACACACACACACACACACACACGCACGCACGCACACATGCATACACACACACACAAGAATGCAGTACTTTTTATAAAAAGAATATTGGCTTACCTAGCTTGATGGCACACTCTTGTGATCCTAGTGTTCACAAGTCTGCTGCACGAGAGTTGGCTGACCTTGGACATTCAGGACCATTTGTGACAACCCAGTGAGACCCTTGCCTAAAAAAAAAAGAAGAAAGAAAAGGCCAGGTACAGTGATTAATGCCTGTAATTCATAGGAGGTTGAGATAGAAGAATCATTATGAGCTTGAGACCAGCCTGGCTACATAGTAAGTCTCAGGCCAACCTGGGCTACAGAGTCAAACACTGTCTTAAAAAACAGAAGAACAGAGTAGGGTGAGTGTGAGGTCATCCTGATCTGGACAGCGAGTCTCCGTCTTGAAAAAGGAAATTTGTTTTTTGCTTATTTAACTATTTGTGGAGAAAATGTAATTATCTTTTTAACAGTTTTGTCAATTTTGACAACTTTTTTTTCTTAATGATGTTATTTCTGTGTTCTAACTTGAAAATAATCATGAATAGAATGAGCTTTTAAGTTAGAAACGATTTTAAATTTGCAAGCTTAGGTGCTACAGGAGTGACTGCTTTCTTTTAGGTATTTTCGAACTCTTCGTCTTGTGAACTGACGGGTTCTGGATCCTGCAACAGCATGCTGAAACTGGGTGAGGTGCTCAGCTGCTCTCGCTAAGCTGTACTTCTTTCTGCCTGTGTCCCCTAAGTCAGAAGAGTGTGAGAGGAAAGCACCACTTTGGATTAGGAGAAGAATAAAGGTGTAGTCTCTTTACTGTCCATCAAAACAAGTAGGGCTAAGGTCTACCTTTTACCAGACGTGGAACTCTAAAAGGTTCCTTAATGTCTGTGTCTCAGTTTCTCATCTGGCGAAGGGGACATTAACTCACAGTTGTGGTTTGTTTTTTTTTTTAATCAAATCGCAAGTAAGTAAGAGTAAGTTGGAAGTCTTGAACACTGTGAGTATTTTAGTTGAAGGATAACCTTTGATGTTGTTCCTTGGGTGCCATTCAGATGGTGGTGCACACATTTAATCCCAGTACTCCTGCAGCAAAGGCAGACAGATCTCTGAGTTTGAGGCTAGCCTAGTCTACAGAGTGAGTTCCAGGATAGCCAGGGCTACATAGACGTGGTTTAAAAAAAAAAAAGCAAGAACAACCATAACAAAACAAGTGTAGGTTTTACCTTAAATCCTTGGGACCAGAAATATCTCTGGTTTACAGTGTCTCAGATTTTCGGGATATTTGCATGGTCCTCACCAGTTGAGCATCCCTGATCTGAAATCTGAAACTGGAAACCTCAGTATCAGCACCCAGGTTTTCACATAAGGATGTTCAACCTGGAGCTTAATTTTAGCATTCTTGTCTTGAGTTGACTACTGTGCTTTCTGTTTATATATATTATTGTGACTTCAGATCAAGTCTCATTGATTAAAAAACAAGAAAGGGCTGGAGAGATGGCTGGGTAGTTAAGAGTGTGTACTGCTCTTGTAGAGGACCTGGGTATAGATTCCAGCACCCATATCAGGCAGCTCACAACTTCCTGTAACTCCAGCTCCAGAGGATATGGTACACTCTTCTGGACACGGACACACACACACACACACACACACACACACACACACACACACACACACATCCACACATAATTAAAAACAAAATAAATCTTAAAAAAAATATCGTCGAGAGCTTACTATGTGCCAGGCACTGAGTCAACACTGTCAGAAACATCAGGAGACCTTGTTCTTGCTTGAAGTTCATCATATATTTAATGAGCAACCCTAATTCCTGATTCCTGCACTTGTATAGACTTGCATATTGTCATTACACCCTGAAGGGGGATTGTAATTGTATGTACTGTACAAAATAGGATTGTGGGAAAAGCTCAGAAGAAGCCAGAGTTCTGGATACGGTTGTAGTGTTTGCCGTGTAGGTAGACTTGTAGTTTGAGAGACAAAGGAGGACGTTAGTGAAAATGAGTGTTACAGAAGTTTAGGTTCAGAAGCCACAAGTAGAAGAGGCTGAGAAATGATGCTTTGTAGTTATGCTCCTCACACTTGTGAGTTAGGGTACCGCTTGTGGCGCAGACGTGCAAAGGTGAGTAAACTTGTACCCCTGTGTATTGGTTCCTTGACATTGCTGGGGCCAGAATAGCTGAGAACAACGTGGGGAGGGAGGTTTATTGTAGCTCCTGGTTTTAAAGTTTATGCCAACTGAATCTGACTTAGACATTGCTTTCGTATCAGTTACTTGATGGCTGTTGTGGTTTTGTGGTAGTGAAAACTGAGCTTAGGGTCTCATCCATCTTTGGTAATACTGTACCACAGAGCTATCTTCCTAATCCGCCATTGCTTTCCCTTAACTTTTGTAACTTCATGCTGGAGTCCTGTGCTTTTAAAGAGATAAGATGGTTGGTTCTACCACACAAATTTCCTGTCCTGATGCAGGCTGTTCACGGTAATATTTTTTCCTCTCACTACAAATATGTTCTTAAAGGTAATAAATCTCCTAATGGAATTAGTGACTATCCAAAGATCAGAGTGACAGTGACCCGAGATCAGCCACGCAGAGTCCTGCCTTCTTTTGGGTAAGTGTTCAAGTCTGCTTTTCTGTAAGTGGAACTCACTGCTGCTTAGGCATTTCCACTTTTGTTCTGTAAAATAATATTAAGTAGGCACTCTGAGGGTAATAACTTGCTGAATATCATATGACTAGTTAGATTTGAATTTGAGTGTTTCCTTTCCAACTGTATTACATGTCCATAGTATGATTGGGTTTTGAAAACCATTTTAAGATTTTTACTTTTAATAATTCTATGTGTGCTTTCTCTGAATAGGTATCTGTGTGTTTATAGCTGGTGTCTGAGGAGGCCAGAACAGGGCGTTGAACCCCCAGCTCTGGTCCTCTGGAAGAGCAGCTAGTACTCTTAATCACTGAGCCATCTCTGTAGACCCCTATTTTATTTTTTTAAATAATGTTTTTAGTTATTTTTTGAGAATTTCACACAGTGTATTTTGATCATGTTCATCCCCCCTTTCCGACTTCTCCCAGCCAGATCCTCCCCTTCCTCTCTGCCCACTCAACTTCATGTGTCGTGTCCCCTCCCCCTTCCCCGCTCCCCGCTCTCTCATCAAGTCCAGTTTGTGTTGCTAGCTACTTCTGAGTATGGGACCTGCCTTGGAACATGATACATGTACCTGGTGTCACTCCATTGAAGAAAACTGACTTTCCCAGAAGCAGCCAAATACCAATAGCTCCTAAGCTAGGGATAGGACTTTGTACCTACCACCATGCTAGGATTTTGTCTGGCTTGAGCTTACAGAGCTTTTGTGCATGTTGTCACAGTCTCATTGTGAGTTCACAAATGCATCTGCCTGTTGTGTATGGAAAACACTTGAAATTATCTACTACCTCTGGCCCTTACATTCCTTCCTGCTCTTCTGCATAGATCCCTGAACCTTGAGGGAAGAAATGTGGTCTAGACACACATTTAGGACTGATCATTCAAGTCTCTTATTCTCTGCACATTGGTCCATTGTGGGTTTCTGTGTTAACAGCCATACCCAGGAGAAGCTTGTCTGATGAGGATTGAGGGGCACACTGGTCGATGGTTATAGACATGAGCCATTAAGAGTCATTTTTATTGCTATATCCATTAGAATAATAGTAGTTAAAATTTCCCCTTAGAGCCCATGCCCTATCCAGTCACAGGTTCTTGGCCTTAGTGTCAGGAATGGGTTCCATCTCATGATGTGGTTGGCTACTCCCATAACATTTGGGCTATTATTGCACCATTGTTGTAGCTTGCTGGGTTCATAGCTGGGTGGGTTTGGTGATTACTTTTCCTCTGTGGTGGGTATGCATAGTACCTTCCAGCACCGTGAAAGCTAGCCAATATGATTTAAGCTTTCAGTGAGTAAGTACCAGCTAGATTTCTCTCTGTGCCCTGACTCAAGTGTGTGGTGTTTTTCAGCAATAGGGTATTCTCATCAAATTCTGAAGGGTAACCAATGTTTAGGGGGTTGGTCTATGGGACCCTGTTAGCCAGCAACTCAAAAAAGAGGTAACCCATTCCTCTTTTATTTGGTAGTGTGTGGTGTCTAGTTAGGGAATGCACGTTCTTCTCAGTAGCTATTGTAATTTTCTCCAAAAACGACCACATAGTAGAACACAAGACAACTCTCAGTATAAATGTAGGAAGATTGAAATAACATCCTGCATCCTATCTGGCCACCAGAGAATAAAGCTGGATATCAACAACTGTAGAAACAGCAGTAATTGCCCAGACTTGTGGAACTAAACTGCTGAATGGCAGCTGGGTTAAGAGAGAAACCAAAAGGGAAATAAAAACCATCCTAGAATTAAGTGAAAATGAAAATACAATATCTGTTTTTATTTTATGTGTATGAGTGTTTTGCCTTTTGTGCCTGTGTGTATCATGTGCATGCAGTGCCCTTGGAGGCCAGAAGAAGGCATTAGAATGCCTGGAATTGGAGTTACAGAGTTATTAAACATTCAGTGGGTGCTAGGAACTGAACCCTGGTCCTCTGCAAGAATTGCAAGAGCTCTTACCTCCTGAGCAATCGCTCCAGCCTCCCTGAAAGCCATTTTAAAAAGAATTAATGTTCACTTTCTTTTAAATTGTGTGAGTGTGTGTGTGTGTGTATGTGTGTGTGTGTGAGTTCAAAGACAGTTTGTGAGAGTTGGTTCTCTCTTTGCATCACGTGGGCCCCAGGGATTGACTGGAGGTCACCATGAGTCCTGGCAGCAAGCCCCTCTGCCCATGGAGCTGTCCCATGTTTATTGTCACTCTTTAGAATTGCTGTTGCGTGGATGTCTAAGTTCATAGTTTCTTCTTTTACCTTTTTATTATAAAGCCATGTTTTGTCAGGTGTGATGGCTGAGATCTTTAATCCCAGCACTAAGAGGCAGAGGCAGGCAGATCTCTGAGTTCAAAGCCAGCCTGGTCTACAGAGTGAGTTCCAGGACAGCCAGGGCTGTGTAAAGAGACTCTGTCTCAAAAAACAACCCCCCCCCCCATGGCATGTTTTATTGATTTCTCTTGTTATTGCTTGTGGATTTGATTGTTTTTTAGGTTTTGTTATTGTTGTTGTTTGAGATAGGCTCTCAACCACATAGTCCATGCCAGACTGGAATTTATTATGTTACTCAGGCTGTCCTGAACTCTTTGTATAGTCCAACTCTCAATTTTTCTGTTTTAGCCTTCTGTTTTTTTTTTAAGCTCTCATGGTTTTAAATTCTAAAAGTCCTCTCCACTTTGCATGAATTTTTTTCTTAAGTATTTTGCTCCAGTTATAAATGTGCAGTGCCTTTTCTTACCTCAAAAACTGTTTATTATTTTTAAATTTCTTTGACCCTGCTTTTTCTGTTCCATTAGTCCCCAGGGCTCTCCTTAAGCCTGCCTTGGTTTATTTTAGTTGTATCTTTCAAGTTAGATTCTTTATTAAAAATTCTGGGCCAGAGCTGGGGCAGTGGTGGTGCACACCTTTAATCCCAGCACTCAGGAAGCAGAGACAGGTGGATCTCTGAGTTCAAAGCCCGCATGGTCTACAGAGCGAGTTCTGGGACAGCAAAGGCTACACAAAGAAACCCTGTTTAAAAGAAAGAATAAAATTGTGGGCCTGGAGAGAGTTCAGTTAATCAAGTTCTTGCTGTACAAAGACAAGGACCTAAATTGGATTCCTAGCATTCATGTAGAAGCTATCCCAAAGCTACACAGATCCTTAATCCAAGTGCCAGAAGTGGGAGAAGCAGGCAAATGCTGGAGCTTATTGGCCAACCAGTCTAGCAGAATTGATGAGCTCCTAGGTTCCTCAAAAATTGAGGTGGAGAGGTAGATGCTTGATGTTGCCTCTTGATTTCACATGCACAAGCATACGTGTGCAAAAGTGAACACATACAAGCGCACACATCTGGTGATCCCTGGCTAATAATTGACTTATAATTACAAGTGAAAGGTGAGTGGCTGGAGAGTCGACTCAGTGTTTTAGAGCACTTGTAGAGAACCCATCCATGTTCAGTTTCCAGCACTCAGATGGTAGCTTTCAAGTTCCAGGGTTCTCATGTCCTCATCTGGCCTCTACAAGTACTGTGTGCACATTGTGCTCAGATGCACATGCAGACAAAACATGTATGCATAAAATGGTAATTTAAAACATCTTAAGTGAAAGCCAGCTGTGGCAGCACACATCTTTAATTCCAGCACTTGGGAGGCAGAGGCAGGAGATTTTGAGGTCAAGGCCGCTTGGTTTACATAGACAGTTCTAGCCTAGCCAGGGCTACACAGTGGGACCCGAGAGAGAGAGAGAGAGAGAGAGAGAGAGAGAGAG